TGACCATCAGAAGTAACTAATCCCATTCATACACATGCATATGCTGCTGATGAAGCAGTGGGAGCAACTTGGGGTTCTTGCCCAAGGAAAAATCCAACATGTGGCTGCAGGAGCTGGGGATCGAACAGCCAAGCTTTCGGTTAAGAGACAACAGGCCCCAGCAGCTCCATATACAAAGTTTTCATTTTTTATCAAATTTAAACTGTCACACAATCTTGTTTTAGCAGGCATTACAGGAAATTATTACTGTATAAACATCCCTGCATATAAAAAAAACCCACACATGACTCACACTGGCTGCTGTCTCCTCTTACCACAGGTAAAATAGGTCAATGTAAAACTGCATAGACAAAAGATACACAATCAAGACACTGACATATTTTTGCTGTCAAAGCTCCTTGTTAATTAAGTCCTCATCTACATTACACATTCTGTTTTCCCACTTGAGTATTCAGATTTGTTTCTGATGCCACCTTGATTTATTATTGCATTGAAAACAGGCTTTTCAATATGAATGCCATTAATAGCAAAACACTTGATACAACCATAAATGTTGTATCATTCAAATATGTTGATGTAAAATCTGCAGTATGACGGTGAATAGACCATGCAGACATAGGTGTGATTTACTACTCAATTACATTTCAAAAGGTCAGCTTGGGTTGCCATATTGTCATCTCTCACTGTGGGAGAAATTTGAAGGCCTTTTAGGGCGACTAATGAGATACTCATTTTTAATTCTGTCTCTTTGTTCTACCACACTACTTTCCCGATGTCAACACAGCTGCTAAACTGCAAAAACCCCGAACAAACCCCCAGTGCAACACAGAAGCAGCATCACCAAGCAGAGCAGATGTTGTCGTGTCGCACCGCCTGACATGAACAAACATTTGACTCATCCAAAGAGTGCGAGAGAGTGATTGAGCCCTGGTATTAAACACGACCCAATCCACCACAAAAAAAAAAACAACACCTTCTTTTCCTCTATCTGAACCTGACAAATAGGCTGGATGAATTCATGTGAAAGATAATCCTTATAATCTCTGTAATCCACAAATTAAATCTGGATTAATTTTACACCACTAAACCAATCGTCTTGTAACCCCAGGCACAAAAAGTACAACATGCAGGAATTACATGGCGGATAACATTTCTTGCAGGAAATTCTAACTTTTAAAAGCACACTTGAAAAAAAAAAAAAATGAAACCCCCTAGATGAAACAGTAGATTATACTGTGGGCGACAGGGTCCTGCACACATCATCAAGTCCCAGCTATGCATTGTTTTGTAGGCACCTTATGGTGCAATTACTTGTCCTTCCCTCCCCTGACAAAGTGGCGTAGGCGGAAAAAGCTTCTGTTAATCATGAGCTCTATTTTATCACTTCCAGGTAGCGACCCTGTGCTGCGCGAGGCAGCTGCATTAGCACACTTGGCGAAAGATTCTCAGCTGGCATTAGCATAATTATGGACCAAATGTCTGCAAAAACTATGGACTTTGTAATTCCCTGTCTTCCCTCGTTTTAAGCTTTTCAGTTTTTCTCTTTGGGAAGTTTATTTAATGGAACAAAACGCCATATGCATGCAGGCATGGCCCTTTTTTTTTTTTTTTACATTTTCACGGAGAATCATCAATGACAGCATGTCTTTACCTCATTGAATGAATTTATACATTACAGTAAGAGGTGATGTGTTGGTCTGCAAGGCTGTGTGTAAGAGAGAGACACAGTGAACAACTGAAACAGAATTGGCACTATTACTGTGAGGTGTGTGTGTGTGTTCTGCAGTGTGTGTACTCCATTAAATGCAAGCACGGTGTACCAGTGTTAATCTATGTGAGTGGCCAAGCAGGCGGCAGAGTGTGAGTCAGTGCGGGGGTGCGACATGGAGTGAGGGTAAGGGGCCAACTAATGCTGAGTGGCAGTTGATAATGCCAGACCGTTATAACAGAGCATCTGCCCTCCGGCTCCGTGCTTACCTCTTCGAGCCTGGCTCTGCCATCAAGCATTTCAACAAAGACTCACACACACCCATACACACGGAGTGACACCACTGCCATGCAAACGCGGCCACATTCTGCAGCAAACAGTCGCTCGCATGAAATCTAATCAAACAAGAGGTTGTGTGGTGCCTCGAGCAATCGCAACAAATTACTACTTCGCTTGACGTGTCCATATCTGGTCTGCGAATACAAAAACACATATTTGTGCACCCTCAAAAAATCACGCGAAACTGAAACAAAAATCTCCATGATAGTGTTCAGAGTGTGTGAGCATGTTTTTTTTTTTTCAGCCAGAGTCATTCATATAATACTGTATCACTGCTGCTGCGTCACTGAGCTCTGTAGGATTCTGAGTGGTTAAATAAGCTAAAACTCCCTTTACAATGAGACATCAAAGACTTTACATTACATTTTTGGTCATCTGCACGTTATAGCAAACTGATCAGACAAGACCTATGAAAATCAAATCTTACATCCACTTCAGTGGAGCGTGACATTTTCATCAAGCCGCACAATATTCCCCTAACAAAGCCGTCCTCATGTGACTCTGACGTCTGCAGTAAATGTCCAATTAACCTTAGAACATCTCTGATTATCTGGAATCCCTGCCTGTGGTTACCTGAATGTACAGTGCAATTATTAATACAACTTCCAGCACACACACAGAGACACACGCACAAAGATAACATCAGTAAATATGAGGAAATAAAAGCCTCGATGCAGAGAGAGAGACTACTCTGTATTAGGACTGACAGCTCGGATTTAATGGCAATCAAGGGCATAGAGGAAGTTTGGCATTGACAGGTGATGTGTATGGAAATGAGGCTTGGCTTTAATATTGTAAATCAAACTTGTTTCTACGTTATCCAGCACATAAATGACAGTAATGGTGTGCACAACAAGAAAGCTGAATGACGGGGGGGGGGGGGGGGGGAATCCCTGTATATCTATCTGCCCTTGAACCATGATGCACAAAATGTTCTTTTACAGCAGACCTTGGGAGCGACTGGTTGACAGGGAAAGTAAAAAGTTGCTTTTTATCTTTAATAAAAAAAAGAGCTGAAGAAAGTAACAGAGGTGCATTCACATGAGTGGGTCATGTAATCAAAGCATCTCTTTGCAGCGGGGAGTTGTTTACCTCTGCAAGCCTTTGATTCTTATCCTCTTTCAGGCAGGACTCCTGAGGTTTAAAACCTGCAGGCGGAATTATGTCGATTTCGCACTGCTACTTTTCAGCAAAAACTGGATTTTTCTCCTCGCTTTATATTGATAATGATCAGCATTAGATTCTGAGGGGATAAAGCTGATAATTAAAAACCGCTTTCTGCTAGAAGTAGCGTGTTATATATAGATGCACACACACTGATTTGTGGGTATATGACAAGAGAATAAATAACACGTTGAAGTAATACATTACTGTCGCATGAGTCATGTCTCAATGAAGACAAATAAAGCTAATACAGAATTCATCATGAGTTCTTGTTGGTAACCATGTTCATGTTAATAAGTAATGCATAATGTATTACCCATCAATGACTATTAACTCACAGTTACACAGTTACTTCATTAACCGCTGTTTGAAATGGGACTTTTAGCTTGAAGCTATGGTAACATTTATGTTGACTGCTCTCTTTACAAATTCAAATGAATAAAGTTCTTAAACACATATTGTCTAAGTAAGCAGCACTTCAATATGAAGGCCATTTCAAACCCAAACCAGTAACCATACGTAAACTTTCTCATGTTGCTCAATGATCACCATCTAATAGTAGCCAGTTACCTTTAGATTTGTTTAGCAGCAACACTCACTTCTTCTCACTTCATTACATTTTTTACTGCTCAAAATGGCCGTCCGTTGTCCTCTGATTTACCAACTGGCACTTCAGCTGTCACATCTCAATGTAACTGTTGAATAATGCAGCCAACAGTAGATGTTTATATTTTTACTGGAATACATGAATAGGTTGTGTTTTGCTATGAAAGACGCTGAGAAAATGCACTAATCAGAAATGTGCTCTTCTAAGTGTTTTACTGTATACTGACTAATTTGGTGGCATATAAATGAATGTACGTATCGAAACTGAGTTAATACTCATTGATTAATGAACCTTTAAGCGTTTACTAATTACATAAACTCAAAGGGACTTGATCATTTCTTAAGAGTAAGCAATGGGAATTCATGATACATCCGGTATTAATTCAAGCGTTAAATCATCACACATTGCTGAAGCATGCATTTTGCAGCCTCATTATGAACAGTAAAGGGTTATCCACTTGTGTCTCTGTGATGTGGGGGGGGGGGGGGGGAGAGAACAGTGATTAGAGGCCATGTCAAGAGCACAATGTGCCGGATGGAGAGCAGAGAAGAAATAATGTGAGACAGCGGGTGGAAAATTGTGCAATCCCTGGAAATTGAGCAGAAATTGAGCAGCAAGGCACGGCTGCTCTCTTGGCCCCGAGAGCCTTGCAGCCACAGATGATCAGGGCCACCTCAGACAAAAGCCTAACAAGGAGGCAGCAGGAGAAACCGGCCTCTGGAGCGCACGTCTGAGGCTGCAAATGCAACTCATTGATTCTGTGCAGAGCGTCACTTAATGACCCTAACTGATAGACTTTGAATGTGGTCACTCTATTATTTTTTTTCCCCCTTTAATCGGACACAAACCAGAGTAGAGGAAGGAAGCAGCCAGGAGGGAAGAAGCAGCAACACATTAACCTTTAATGTACAAGCAGGAAAAAATGGCTGTGTACCAGCTCTATCTCTACAATTTTCTCCTTTCATTGAGGAAAAGTACTATTTCATTCATGCCATTTCCGTTCATTCATCAGCTGGGGCCAGCCTAGACTCACAGTGCCATCTCCACACCAACATTCTTATCAATGGATGTGACGTCAGCACTGCCTGCAGCTGGGGGAGGAGGGGGGAGAGGGTCACGTGGTTCAGTGAGGGTATATACAATAAAGTTGCGCTGACCGTGGGGCTGAAAACATTCACTCAATTGTACATTTGCACCAGTGCTGCTGCCATACAAACACGCGAGGCAACTAAATAAAGAGAGCCGTCAGTGTGTGTTTGTCTTTCTCCATGTTGGTCACAGGCTGAAGAGAGACACAGAGGGAAAGAGAGAGAGAGAGAGACAGGGGGAAACTGAAATTCTCTCAGGTGATCCAGCATTCATGAAATAATCTTGGCTTTACCCGCGTCCAGAGTTTCATCACTTCCCCGCCCCCCTGTGGGACTCCAGGTAAGTGGAACGAAATCTCATTTTAATCCTTCACAAATCATAATCAGATAAAGACAGATTGTATTACAGATTCACGTCAGTTCTTTTATATTAGGAATGTTATTTATATAAAATAAGTTCTTCTTGTTTTAAGGCATGTTGAGAGTAGAGGAATTTGTTCCCAAATCAAATCCATGTCAGAGGAATGTAGGCTTTTTGTTCTCTCGGAGACTGTTGATATTTGTAAAGTAGTGCACTGCGACTGTTGCGTTTGTGAAAGCAAAATCAAATAAAATGTGTAACTTAAGCTTTCAATGTAATATTTTTCCAACTAGATTCGAGTAACTTTCATGCTGCTGAAAAAGCCCAAATTGAGAAATAATTAAATGTGTTAACAAACCACGTTTTTTTTTTGTATTTGTGAAATAATAATAAGCCCATTATATTAATAATAATAATCGTTTTCGCAGAATTACGGGAATTTGTTATTTTACATCTATTTAAGGGAGAAATAAATCTGTCATTACAATGTGAAGAAAATTATGACTCACAAATGTTTCTGCGCCAGTTGCTGAAAATTCAGTTGAAATTTCTCAAACGCCAATGAAACAAAATTCGTGTGGATTTTTTTTTTTTTTTTCGTAGTTTTAAAGCCACAGCACTGATGTGACCAGTCAGTTTTCAATTATTTAATTCTAATTCAATAAAACTAAATCCACTAGGCCGGTAGCATTACTGAATGGATTATTTTTTTCGTTTCCCCTGCTTGCTGTACCTGTTAATGAAAATGGTAATAATAAAATAAAAAAGTGCTGCACACTGAGCTCAGCTGTCCAAATTTGAGCTTGCCTGCATTCCGCCGCTGTCACGAGAGGGGAACATGCCTACATCTCAGAGGGATAACACCGCGTTTTCATCCACTGGCTGCACCCCTCCTGTTCCTTTATCCCTTCTGGCTTTATCCCTTAAACATAACACCCAGCTCATTTACAATTTGGATGGACCACTCAGGGACCGTAGGGTTAAATAACTCATCCGTGGCCACCAGCCTTACGCATGACTTCCCCGCGCGTGCCGCCTTTGTATCAGTGTCCTGCACGCCTCGCATTGACGCATGGCATGCCAAAATCACAGCTTGTACAGAGACAGACATCTGATCAATTTGTAGCTTCTTTATTCTTATTATTTTTGAGAAATAGACGTTTTGCGCAAAATATGACAAGCGCTTGCGTTCTGGTAGGGTTGGCTTTGAGGAATAGGTAAGATTTTTTTTTTTTCTATCGGAAATTTAGACGGAACATTCAATTCTTTTACGTGTGTTTCTTTGCTGTATTAGTTTTGTCGGCTAAACATATAGAAAAGACCAAGCGTTCATTAATGTATTCGTGCGGTGGGAAGATAATGACTGAGTAGACGCGCGACTAAAGCCAAAAGATGGCTTTTGTTTAGATCCAAAGCGCAATTTCTGCATGCAAATGGTTGCCCCTTTCTATACAGTCACGTCCATTTAAATAACCTCAAGAATCCTGACTGGTTGATACGGTCAGATCCCTCCTCACTTTGTTTATAAGGTTTCCTGAAAAATGGGGAAAAATGCTCTAAAGGGGAATATTTTGAACCAGATGTGATTGTTCATTAGAGACATCCAGAAAATATATTTCAAACGCCAGGAATCCGAAAAGGGACTGCAACTTTCTCCGTTGCCTTTTCCGTGGCTTGTTAAACTGCATCTGACTGCCTTTGTTCTCAAACGTTCATTCAATTGAAAACTGCACACAGGTTAAAGTACATTTGTATGGTGGCCTCGCAGTGGAAAAATGATTCCTCATTCTTATTATGGATTCTTTTTTCCCCTTTTTTCTTAACATTAAATTCAGAAATATTTTATATATCAATATAAAGAGGCCTTATCATAATATAACTGGCCATCATTTAAATAATCCAGATGTTCAGATATTGCTGTTGACTTTGTCTTAATTATGATTTAAGAGGAAAAAAAAACTGCATCCAATGACATGTGTAATCATTTCTTATATGTCTTTTTGTCCCTCTCCCCCTGCTGTCTCCTTTTTTTTTTCTCAGGTGCTTAACCTCCCTCCTGCCGGTTCTGCATGGTCATGACCTGTCATCACGTCCCTTCCACAGCCCACCTTATCCTATTGGCCCTGCTCACTGTCATTCTGCAGCTGGCTGGCACCGCCCCTGTGTGGGTTGAGGGAGGGGAGGGAGGGGTGGAGGGGCGCACCCAGACAGACCCTAAAGAGGATAACCTCACCCCCTTCCTCTTGCACCCGCCTCAGAGTCTCCTCAGCCCCGACAACAACACGTCAGAAGACCGGGGCCTGGGTCAAGACAACCCGTTGGAGAGAGTGAGCGACCCTGTGCAGGTGCTTGCCGTTCTTTTGGAGGCATTGGACCACACGGGAGAGGGTGAAATCAGAGACTGGGGAGGGGATCAGAGTCAGGACCTGCCCCCCGATCAAGACTCGGAGGGTGGTGAGATAAGGAGAACCGGGGAGACGGAGGGAGAGAGAGAGGGGGAGGAGGAGGAGGAGGAGGAGGAGAAGAGGGTGGGGCGAGTGGCAGATAAGGCTATTGAACAGCTAATTGTAGGCCATCTGACAGCTGCTCAGGGTGATGACTTAAAAGAAAGGGATGAGGAGGATAAGAACTCAAGGTCAGAGGAGGACCAAAGGTGGTCCGTGGAGGAAGTAGGATCTGATAATGCAAGTGAGGAGGAAGAGAAAGATGAGGGGCAGGAGGAGGGAAATGATTTAGAGAGTTTTTTGAACAAAGCCAGGTCAAGTTCCACCTCCCAGGGAGATGATCTTGCTCTGCAGCGAAAAATAAGAGGCTACTTCCAGAACATTGACTTGGGTCTCCAAGACAATGAGATCCTGCCTCCGCTGAAGGGCTACAAGGCTTACAACACTCAGCTGGCACGAGCCGGGAAGAAGCTGCACTGGCAGGACAACCAGGCGAGCAACAGACCCGCCAAGGGGGGGAACTTCATGGACGACTTCGAGGATGAAGGAGAGGAGCTGGAGGAAGAGGTGGAGGAAGAAGAGGAAAGCCTCTCCCACATGGAAGAGGAGGCGAGGGCACGTGCAGAGAAACAGGAGGTGCTCCGGCAGCAGGAGGAGGCGGAAAGAGCCAGAGAGGAGGAGCAGAGGCTGGCAGACATTGCCTCCGACATGCTGCTGCAGTACATGGGGAGGAAGCAGCAGTCCTACATGAAGCCGCGGCAGAAAAGCAGCATGGGCGCTGCGGGCAACACAGCTGAGGACAAGCGCTCAGAGGAGGTCAGCCAAGACGACGACGACATGGACCAGCAAATGATCGACCGGCTTATCGAGATCAGCAGCAAACTCCACCTGCCTGCTGACGATGTCATTGAGATTATTAGTGATGTGGAGGAGAAGAAGAAGAAAAGGAAAGAGTTGCAACAGCAGCCGATCAACAGCAACCCCGTGGCTCCGCGCTTCAGGCCCCTGGTACCTCCTCCCTTGGCTGCTCCTCCTCTCTACCACTACACAGCCTCAAAAAACCCCAAAAAGAACCCTTACAGGTACAACAAGTCCAACAAGAAATGGCACAAGGACAAAGTCAAGTCGTACAAGCAGGACTATTGGTACAAGCCTCAGAAGCAGCTTGACTACTGGTACAAACCCCAGAAACAGTTTTTAGCTTTCCCCTCCTATCCGTACTACCAGAAGCCATATCGAGCATACTATCCTGTTTATTTCCCATATCCCAAAGGTCAATATTATGGCAAAAACTCCCCTTCCAGAGAACAGCCATTCGGCCCCCAGGAACTTGACCTCCAGCCCCCAAGGCGCAGGCACAGGGGCGGGGGTAAGAACCGCGGTCAGGGCTGGAGACAGCAGCCTCCGCCACGCTTGCCTCTCACACCTTATATCTCTAACTATATCCTTCCTCACCCACGGACCTACCAACCCCTACCTCCGCCCAAACCAATAACCCCACCCAGGAGAGGCAGGCGACCCCCTTACTACTATCCACAAGCGACACCACGAGATGACTATGAGGAAGACGGGCTGGTGCCTCAGCTGGACAGTGAGGAGGAACTGGAAAACTTTATTGAGAGGATCTACATGAAACGCAGAATGTATTGAGACTTTTTGGACATTTGTCAGATCTGAGGGACTAATGGGGGTGGGATAGATGTACGGTATTTGGAGAACAGCTAATATGAAGGTGAAAGAAAAAGACTGTGTTTGGAGCCTGATGGAAATTTAAGGGTCAAGAAGTCAAAAGTGAGATTTCTATTGTTTCAAATCACTGTATTTTTTTTTTATTGATTTCTTCTATCAGGGAGGGGATGAAGGCGCCCAGTCTAAGCTCCCTGTAACCATGTTCAGCCTCTTGCTCTGCTCAGTTTACATTTTAAAACAGAACATACCATGGTGTATGTCTGCCTCCATTCAGGTCAATCTCTGATGCATTTTTCAGAGTTTTCTAGAGGACACATGCACAACACATACACACAAGAACACCCACATGCATCCACACACCTATACACACTTACATTATTGTCACATTCTCAAGCAGATGAGTCCATTGCAAGAGAACCATGTTTACAACATCACTTTGTATCTTTTGTGTTTTTTTGTTCTGTGTGACATAATGCAAAACTAAAGTAGGTCCATGATTTCTTAGCTGCACAAATATGAAAGAAGGTATCCAATGTTAACAGTATATTTTTGTTGTATACGATGTGTGTAGTTGCCTTCTTTTCCTGGATTGGATACATTTTTAAACAGATGCAACTTTCAAAGGTGCCAAATTCACACATTTCAGTTACAAGATTTAGACTTTTGCCTTACAAGCACCTTGGTTCTATAATGGAAACATCATATTGCATATTATTATCATCACGACAGGTCCCGTTGTAGAAACCCTGTGGACTCCAAAAGCACAAAGTTAACACTAAACACTTCCAACCTGGTGGACGAAGGGTTTTTAATCATTCTGGGATCCAGAAAATATTGTTTCAACAATGGCAGAGTCACCACAATCGTAAAGAAACTGTACTCCTCGACCTTGTAGGAGTCTTTTTTCATTGTCTAATTTTCATCTTCACTCACATATTTTTGTTCTGTCGTCATCATTTTCTGTCTCTGATCATATCTCTATATCTTTACTTTCTTTGCAAAAGAAAATACTTGAAATTACACTACATTGTTCTGCAGCCTTTTTCAAACAGATTTCCAACAAGAGGCTACAAACATTTTGTTCATTATCAGGAGAAAATTCATTGAAAAGTTTCAGGCCGGGGAGTCAGGGATTGTGCTTAAACCGTTAAATGCACGTCTTTCTACTTGCATCTTAAAAAAAGAACAAAAAAAAAAGAACAAAAAAAAGAGAAAAAATAAAACAGTATGGGGAATTCAAGATGGTTGTTTTCTCTGAATAAACTGTGAACATAAAAAAAATAAATCTCAAAGGAAAAGGGCCACTGTGTCCGCAGTGAAGCCATCTGTCTTGTAAAAGGAGAGTGTTGTTGTTGATGTCACCTTTAGCATTGTAACATGTACAGTGTGAAATAAATATGCCCGTGCAATGTGTAAATAACAGCATGATGATTACTAGTTTTGCTATATGATAAAAAATAAAAGCAATTATTTTATTAAAGTTCAGTTTTTTAATGGCTTTTTGGCGAATGCTATGTTGTACTTGGAAAGCAGAAAATAGAAGAGGAACACCTGATTATTGAGTACTTGAGTAATACACACAAAAACACAATCTGCTGAAGCTAAAAGACAGCACAACTTATGTCAGTTACGTCAATACAGGGACCAAAAAAACTTAAGAAAAGGTGTAACATCTCTGCAGACAATCAAAACGATGAAGAGAAAAAGAGCAAAAACGGGAGTGATAGAAGGAGTAATTGCCAAAGAACAGAAAAATTCAGAAGAAAGGAGGGAAATTGTAACTGCAGTGATTGATGAGTCACATGATTGCTGGATGAGTCATCCATCTGTACACGTTACTGCGCAGGACCACACACTCACACACACACTCACAAACACACACACTAATGCACACTCTCTTTGAGCTGTATAGTAATTTAGCTGCTGGCATTCGAGATAAAGATTGAGTCATGTTCGCTTCTGCCTTGAGCCAGCCAATCAGCCGGTGGAAAGGTGTTCGGTTGATAGGTTTTGCCATATCTTGTTTCCACACCTCCTCCTCACTCTTGCTTCACATGGGCAAGATGCCCTCCTGCTATAATTCCTTGAAGTGCCTCCGGACGTTGCTGGTTTGGCATCAAAACAAAGCTTATGTCTGCTGTCAGGGGTACAAACAGCGACAGTGATTACCAGGCTGTCAATATGCTCTAATCACGTGTTATCTTGCCAGCTTTCTCACCAGTTGATTGGAACGCTACCGTTCATGGCTTTATCTTGGCTTGTACTATGATGCTTGGACACCATGCTATGAATTCAGATTTTAATTACAGCTTGTACCTTCTGTAGATATCCTACCTGAATATTAATCTCTAACTGGAAGAATGAGTCAATATATTTACATGTACACAGTTTTGCTCAGGGGTTTTGGTATTTAAAAGACAAAGGATTAGTTTGAAATGTTAACATTTGCAGGTAATAACTCTCTCACCTCTGTCAGCAGATAATTATCTCATTTATTGTAATGATCAATAAGGGATAATGCGCCAAGACGTGTCCATTATTAGGAATATGTGAGTGATGTGGAGGCCAGCATGTTGGACAGCTGCTTCCAGGACTCCTGATAATGGACAACTGGAAGGTTATTGTCCCACATATACCCAAGTAACTTGAAGTATATCATTCAAGTTTTTTATTCAATTCCCTACTGACGTCAAAGAGTATGACAAATAGTTTAAAAATATCCAGTAACATCCCATAATGTATTAAAACAACAGAAACATTGTTCACGTCCAGTAAAGAGAACGGGCCCATGAGACTGCAACAGGAGATTTGTTTGCTAATCTCACAGAGTGATGCTAATCAGCAGTTAGCATGGAAGCTAGCTGGCAAGATTCAATTATGTTTTGTAAGGTTAGTGTGAAATAAATATAATTTTAAAGTAGTTTAACAACAAGATTTGCCCGCTAACCAGACATGTCAGTGTCCCTTAAGTCAACATTTTCACGACAAAATAGTATACGGCAGTTACTGTGAAGAGAGTTGAATAGTGAATGTGATGTTATGTGGTATGATAGCTTATAGTAGTGATTCCTTAAGTGGGGCACAGGACACCTGGGGGGGGGGGATAAAGTTATGACAGGGCAGGGCCGGCAAGACTTAACAAAAACAACACACACCGTTTTTCACTGCTAGAAAAGCACAACAAATGTTGAGATGAGATGTAAGGCTGAAAATTAATCTACACCAGACTTCATACATTTAGAAGTTTTAAGTTACAGTATCACTTTTAAATGCTTCCTCTGTGCGGCATGAAAAGTGCCGTGTATGTTTTTTCAGTTTGTTGTCACACTCTGAAGTTGCCATTCAAAGTATTGCGGTTTTTATTCTGTAAAAAAATATTTATTACAAATGCTTTAAGTTGAAAAAGGGTCAGACTAAATCAACTGAAGACACATCTAAATACAGTCAGTATGGAGACGATGAAATGTCTAATAAAATGAATAATAAACGTGTGTGTTTGGCTGCTCTTTGAGCTTGTGACTGAGCTACAGCCAAACAACACTTTTATCGAGATGACATATACATTTTGTGAATAACACATCAGTAATGAGCCTTTAGAAACACAGTTTCTTGTGATGGCGGATGAGCTAATTAGGTCGAAATGAGCTTACCCATAAAAACATTCAAACAACACTTCAGTAAGTTGTCTTTAAACTTGTGCGGTATCTTGTCATGCTGAGTGTGGAATAAACACACACTTCTGTGCGGTTCGTTGAGGATGAAGTCGACATTGTGGGGAAGATGTGAATAAAACATTTGCTTTGCCAAAGGAACCGCATGTTTTATTTGTCATGAGCTTGCACAGAATAGATGGATACTGGCTGCTACTTGTGTGTGACTGTTTTTTAAACCCACACTTCTTTAGATCCACATTTGTTCAATAGTTCATAAATGGTAAAATCAAACATTGTGGGCATTATTAGATAGTTATTTAACTCAGACACTTCTGTCATCAAGAAGACAAAAGTGTTTGAGACTGAATGCTGCTGTCTGATTTGCTTGAGTAACGATCGGCTATTTGTGGTGCAATTTTCTGCATTTTCAACCATGAGTATATATATTTATTAAATTTCACACTACAATTTGGTTTGAAAGATAATTAAATAAAATGCCAAATACGACAATCTTAATAACTGACCTGATAAAAGCTAATAATCATCTCATATACTTCTAGTATAGAAGTGTCTAAACTGATGGTTACATCATTTCTTGATGTTCATGTGTGTCATGAATGGTCCACCCCTTACCTTTTATTGCTACAACAGCTAATGCTTGCTACATTAACACCCATATTTAGTCTCTGTGACACAAACATATATAATGTGTGAGTGAATTCATTTGTTGCAGGTCTACTCAGACAAAACGTGAGCTCAACACAGAAGACACAAACACAATGTTCCTTATGAAAAGGAGCCTCTCATCCTTTCCCTCTTCACACCTTGTTGCAAAGCTGTGGACAAAAAGAGCATTGTTGTGATGCAGCTATTTACATCCCCACGTTCATTGCATAATTGAGATTTGAACATTTCCAGCACAATGTGATAATTACACGTCAACCTTTAGATCACTTTACGTCCTAAAAGTAATCATTTATATTTTGCCGGGTATGTGCCCGGTAATTAAAATGCAATTTGAATCTTTCAAAAGGCTCCAACTCTCACAGGCTGAAAATAAATAAATTGGTATACATCCAGCTCCTGGCACAAAGGAGTCTGACAGGACTGCAATTTATCAGTAATGGCCCCAAGAAGCCTGAGCATTTACAGAAGCAGAAACGCAAGGGAAAATGTCAGCTGTTAGTTGTGTGAATAATGAATTAATGCAGCTATTAGATCCAAATAAATCTGATTAAATACTGATCATTATTTCCTGCAGCAGTGGCTCAACCTTTAACTTTAAATGTCACTGTGATATTAGCTGAACAGAAAAGATGATGCATATTATCAGTGGATATATAGCATAGAGCTGACACTAGTTTTACACAGAAGTCAGAAATATATTTAAACACAAAAGATGTCTTATTGAATGTTTTGGTTCAGTTGTAGTTAGAAAACAATAATATGAACACTACATACATTAGGGCAAAAACTCAATTACAAACACTGATACAAAAATGGGTCATACTAGGTTGCTTGGCAACCAGCCGTATCTTGTTAATGGTTTTCAGTAAACAGTGAATTTTTATGCCCCGGTGTGATTTTTTTCCCTTAGTCCCATTCTTATTGTAATTTTTGTCATTGTGTCAGGCTGTGTGGAAAGAACAGGATGCTATTTGTGTCTCTTTCTCAAAACATCGAGAGAAAGGATTTGGGTTAAACTGACGTAAAATTTAAAGATTAAACCCTACGCTGCAGGGTTAGGGTATTCATACCGTTCTTTAGAGACATGACGTTAAAAGAACAACACGGAAGTCGCAACCGAAGCAACAGACTCTGCTATATGATATAATGATAATTTTTGCTATTATATCAATGCTACCTACCTGTAGTTTGACACAATCACAATATCGACAAAAGAACGAAGAAGAGCGTACTGGTGAACAGAAAACATTCAGAATCAGTTTCATGACATGCATGGAGATTGCAGTGGTCATGTGTTTACAGTTTGTGGATGTGTCCCGGTTGCAGGATATAAGAGTTTTTAGGAGTGTGCAAGTGTGAAACATACCTGCAGTCTACTATTGGCCTTACTGAAGCTCTGTGCCTTTCACACATGCACTCCTGACAAAAGATTTCCGTTTGTTTTTTGCCTTTTATTAATCTTATGTCAAATGATCCTGTATATAAATTGCTGCATTCCAACATTGGCTCATGCTGACTTCTTGCTGTTTTTACTCAGGGGCTGGCAGGAAAAATGTCTGATGAAGTCGGGGTGAAAATGAGGCCATCACACATGCAGTTCATCTGAACAATTTCAGTAGTCCAGGGCATGTGTGAAACAGGCCTTGGTTACTTCATGCTGTTTTTCCTAAAAACAACAACAACTTAAAACGTATTTTCACATTTTTGTAATATTTTTGTAACAGCTGGTAATTGGTATTTAACCTCTAACTTGACACTTCTGCACTGCAGCATATGTTTTTTGATTCAATTGAATTCAGAGTTGAACACCACCAAGGCATGCCATGATGCTCTATCTGACCCGGGAACTGTAGTCCTCTGTGTGCTTTACTGAGCTTTAAATAGCTTGTAACTTGTGTTGTTTGAGTTCCAAAATTTACTCAGCTATGAAGGACCTTTTGAGAGCCGCTGTGATTTTAAGAAGCGTAAAAATTGGGAGAAAAAGCGAGATACAGCACATTCTTACAAAATTGATACCTGTAGGGTGAAAATACAGGGTAGGCGCTGGTATCACAAAACGGCAAAAATGCTACCCAATCCA